CAAGAACCACCTACACATAAAACAAATCCCTGAGGAATACACATTTCCAAGGGAAGCCCGGATACTGTGGTAAAACTGTCTACCATAAGAAATCTATAAACATCAACACAAAAAACAAAATAAAGAGAAAATATCAGAAAATTAAAATATATCCCTTGTTTTTGGTATGGAGAACCAACATAGTGAAAATGACCATACTCCAATATTGTTATACAGATTTAATGCAATCCCAATCAAAATACTATTAGCACACCTCAACTAACTAGAGAAAACAACCCGAAAATTCATTTGAACCAGAAGAGAACTAGAATAGCAAAAAAAATTCTACACAACAAAGGCAAAGCAGAGTACCTCATAACCCATGATGTGAAATTATACTACAAAGCTACTGTGATCAAAACAGCATGGTACTGACAAAAAAGCAGATCTTAGGATCAGTGGAACAGATCAGAAGATGCAGAAAGAACTCCAAACACACTCACCCATTTTATCTTTGACAAAGGAGCCAGACACATTAACTGGAAAAAAGATAGCTTCTTTAACAAATGGTGCTGGAAATACGGGCTTTCCACATGTTGAAGACTAAACTAGACCCATGTCTACCACCAAGCACTGAACTAAAACCAAAATGGATCAAAGATTTAAATGTTAAGACACAAACACTAAATCTGCTGGAAAAGAGACTAAGTAGAACACTTGAAGACATAGGTATAGAGAAAGATTTCAGGAACTAAACCCTGACTGCACAGGAAATGTCACAAAGAATCAACAACTGAGATCTCATCCTATTGAAAAGCTTTTTCCCATCAAAAGAAATTGCAAACAGAGTGCAAAGAAAATCCCCAGAATGGGAAAAAATTTTAGCCAGTTGTCTCTCAGAGAAAGTACTAAATATAGATCATTCAAATAATTTAAAAGGATCAAACCCCCAAATTTAAAGACCCAATCCAAAAATGGGCATCTGAGATGAATATACACTTCTCACATGAGGAAAAACAAATGACAAATAAATATATGAAAAATCATTCAATATCAGTGGTCATTCAAACAGTGCAAATTAAAACGATACTGTGATTCCATCTCACTCCAGAAAAAGTGGTTATCATCAAGAACTCAACAAATAACAAATGCTTGAGGGACTGTGGAGAGAAAAGGAACCCTTCTCTACTCTTGGTAGGAGTGCAAGCTGATGCAACCACTGTTGAAATCAATATGGATATTCCTCAAAACTACAATTAGAGGTATCATTAGACCTAGCTATTTCCCTTGTGAGTAGATTCTCTGAAGAATTATCAGCAGCATACACCAGCAATATATGTGCACCAATGTTTATAGCAGCACAGTTTATAATAGCTAAATCTTGGAACCAACAGAAATACCCATCAACCAAGGAATACATTAAAAAAAAGATGTGGCTTTTTCATACAATGGAGTAGTACTCAGCCATGAAGGATAAACTTGAGATTTTTCTAGCTAAATGGATGGAACTCGAAATCACACTGTTAAATGAAATAAATTGGACACACATGTAAATATTGCATCACCTCTCTGGTGTGAGAAACTAAAAGAGTAAATATGGATGAAAATGCACAATAGATGTTATGAAATAGGAAGCAATTTTCCAAAAGGAAAGAGGAACTAGGGAGGGAAAGAGGGAAAGGAAGGAAAGGAAAAGAAAAACAATGAAGAATAAAATGGAAACAATGCTTTGTAAGTAAGAAGGGGACAAGGGGTTGAAGGGAGTGGATGGGATTGAAAAAAAAGGAGGAATCAAGATATATCATGTACAGATACAAATTCCCTATGATGACTATGATCATT